TGCCCAACCCCTCCACTAGGGGAAGCTTTTGATAAAGTTCAGCCATTAGCCAGTGAGTCTGCAACTCCCCCTCCAGAAAAGATGCCCATCTCCTTGGGCACCCCAGGAAGAGCCTGGCTTCTCAGCAGGGACCTGCCGCGGGATGGTGGCCCACCCTTGTCTGGCTGCATTCCTTAGCCATTGGCTGCATTGTCAGCGCCCCCTGCTGGTCAGGTGAGGCTGCCTCCAGTGCTGGCTCCAGGAGCTAGTGTGTGTGGTGGAGCAGGGGCTCACCCCTACTTGGGGCCCAGTCTCACAAGGCTGCTCCCCAGGCCTGCCTAGGGCTCACCTATTGGGTGGCTGGGACCACAGATGCAATGGGCCTGGTTCAGGCCACCAATAAGCTTGATAGCTATTAACTGATGTGTACTAATTATTTGGGCAGTGTGTTAAGTGCTCTGCCCACATTATCATCTTGCCCTCCTAATGACCCATAGGATTAACATTGTTATTAGAATAAATTAGAATACCTATTTTACAGCTGAGAAAACAGGTTCAGAGATGCAGGGTGACTTACCCAAGGCCACACAGCTGGGAAGGGGCAGAGATGGTATTGCTGTCCAGACGTCACTGTCCCCTGAGTCCTGCCACCTCCCAGGCATATCGCAGAGGAGGTGGCACAGGCGTGCACTTGGGGACAGGTGTGTCACGTTGCACAAGGCTGGTCTAACATGGGGACAGGAGGCCGCTGGCACCAGGGGTGGCATCAGGAGACCTGGTGCTCCTTTGCCCACTTGGCTGCTCTGGGGCCTTCAGCCAGTGCCTTGCCCTCTGGCCTCAGTTCCCCTCATCTGCGAAATGACAAGCTTGTGCCGCATACCGGGAGGCCCTTCCCACCTGAGACTCAGCCCGCTGCCCCCACGCCCTTCCTGCCGGTAATCCCTCTTACTCTCTGCAGCAGTCTAACTGTGGCTTCCTAACCTGGGGTCCCTGGGCCTCGTGGGGCTCCGTGAGCTGCTGGGAATTATGAGTGAAGTTGCACAGGAATATGTGCGTACCCCAGGAGCTTTTCTTTTTCAGGGAAAGTGTCCATGTTATTACCAGATTCTAATCCTGAAAGGCTAAGAATCATTGATCATTCTAGCCTTTTGGAAAGAATTTCCCTAACTTCGGTCTGAGTTTTTAGGGGAATGGGTGGAGAAAGTGGAGTGTCTACCGTGTAAAATTTCCCCCTTCCCTGTGTGTGTTTTAAGTCCCCCAAGGCTTCCCGGAGCCGCAGCAGCTCCTGCGCCCCGGGCTTCCACCCTCCAGCCACACGGACCTCGGGGAGCCCCGCCCCCACTGCCTCCGGTTAGTTCCGCCTCCACGCTGAAGCTCTGGTCCAGGTCTCTTGCGATTGAGTCCTCATCCCCATGTTCTTCCCTGGACCTGCGACGCCGACGCCGGGACTGACCCGGTCCTTCATGAGGTAAGTGCAGTGACAAGAGTGGCCACTAGGGGCCGCCAGGCGGGCGAACCCTGTGGAGCAGGAGGCACAGAATCTCTCCTCTCTGTAGGCCCCCTTGGCAGCTGGGGGGGTGAGGAAAGGAGCCCGGTGTTCTGGGTCTGGCCCTTCTCCTTGGTAGACCTCAATGTTTTCATCTGTAAAGTGGAGGGAGGTGGCCTACGAGGCCTGGACGTTTGCTAGGCAGCCTTCCAGCCACTGATGTCCAGTGGGCCTCTCTGATTGATGCTGGAGGGAAGAGGCCGCCTTGAACCCCCCTTGGCAGAGCATCCTTAGGGAATGGGACAAAACAACCTGGGGCCCTTTCCCAAGCTTGACTGAGGAAACGGAGCTCATTGTCCTGCGGGGTAAAGGGCTGCCTTACCCCTGGAAGAACGGAGGGTTCTAAATAGGCTGCCCCCAGAGCTGCCTGGGGTGGCTAGGGAAATGGAGACCCCACCAGGGGCCTCCCAGGGGTGCGCGGGGGTGGGGGGCACCTTGAGATCAGGGCTCACGGGGCCAGATGATGGGTGGCAGCCTGATGGGGTACGGCGTCTGTCCCTGTCTGGCGAAGCCCAGGCAGACCCCGGCAAGAGGGGAGGGAGCGTGGTCCTGGACTCGGCAGCCGCGGGCACTGGGAGCAGGGCTGGGGCTCGGGCCACCCTCCTCACTCAGCTGCAGGGGCTACCGGGTCCCAGGGCTTCTGAACCTTCCCCTCCATCGGCTCCAAATTCTGGGCCCCGTGAGAGCTGGTGAAGGTTCGGAGATGGGGCATCTGCAGAGATGCCTGGGGAGGAGCGCCCAAACATCCATCCCAAAACCCCCTCCAAGAACAGGACAAAGTCCTCAGGGGCACAGAAAAACCCTGCCCCTCTCCTGCCCCACGGCTTGCTCCCTTCGCCCCACCCCTCTCTACCCCCAAAAGATTAAAGAAGAGGACACAGGCAGGACAGCGATGCAGAACATACTCTACAAAAGTTATAATGAGCCTGCAGGCGGGAGCTTGTACAGTGCGGGAGTCGCGGAGCCCACCCCACCCCAGCACACGGAGAGCAGGGCGGGGCACAGGCAGTGCACAGCCAGGAGCGGGAGGGGAAGCGCAGCACCTGGGGCTCCAAGAAGTCAAGTCGGCACTTGGGGGCGGCCCCAGGCTCAGGCCCAGAGCAGGGAGGAGGGCCGGGGCGGGCTCGGGTGGCAGTGGCAAGCAGCCCAGCCCTCTGTATGGGACCAGGGGCCGCGGCCCAGCTCCGTCACACCCCGGCTCCGGGCGTGTGCAGACAGGGCCCATGAGCAGGCACAGGGACCCAAAGGGGGGCCTGTGGCATTCTTTGGGGGTTCTCTTTCCCTGCCCCGGCCAGGGGGGCCCAGGAAGGAGCGGGGGGACTGTGGCAGTGCTCACAGCAGGAGCTGCTTCCCAAGTTGAAGGTCAGGGATGGGGTCCACTGATGAGGGCGTGTGTGCACACACGTGTGGGTGGGCTCCTGAGTGACTCCCATATCTCTGACCTCGGTCTGACTGGAGAGCTCTGAGGACCTTCTGGGGCTGGTATCTCTCCTGGACGCACTACTATCACATAGCAGAGGCGCATGCTGCTCTCGCTTACCCGCTATTCCTTTGGAACGTGCAGCCACTTCCAGACCTTGACGGAAAGCCGCCCCCTAACCCCCAACACAGGCGCGCAGAGCCCTGGGACCTGGGGACAATCAGTGGCTCAGACGATCCCCATCTTCAGGCTGCTCTAGTGTCCACATGACAGGACTGCCCACATGGGGCTGGACACCCTGCTCCGCCCGGTCTCCACTGGTCTCAGGCCTGGGGGCCATAATACTGCAGCCGGTTACTGTAGCACCTTTGCATCTATTGCCCTGACCCTCTGGGATCCCTGGGGGGCCAGGCTGCACAACCAAGGAGAGGGAGCGTGGAGGAGAACAGGGGGGAGGGGAGGGCAGAGCCAGGCTGGACTCCACCCCAGGGTGAGCTGGGAAGAGCGCCAGACACCCCTCACTCCCCCAACACACACACTCCAGCCTGGCATCCAATGCCCCAGCATAGCCGGGGCGGTGGGCGGGGGGGAGAGCAGGGGCTGGCTGTGCTGGGGGCGGGACCGGGGACCCAAGTCAGGGCATTTGGCTGAAGAGTCCAGCCAGGACCTCTTCTCTGGGGTGTGCAGGGGGAGGGGAGGCAGCCCAAATTCTTCCCTTCACAAAAACGCAGGAAGTGAGCAAGTGTCCAGTCTGGCAGGACGAGATCCTCAGAGGCGGGGGGGGGGGGGGGGGGGCGATGGCCCCCGGGGCGGGCTGTGCCCACCCCTAACACACACACTCCCACCCAGTTCTAAGGGGCTGTCGTCTAGTCTCCGGGGCCCCAGGGAGCTCCACCTTGCCTCTGGCCTCCTGCGAATCCCCGTGTCCTTTAAGGCCGCACACATGGCGGGGCGGGGGGGTGCTCAAGGCCGCCAGGACCTTTCTGGTGGCCTCCGGGCCATACCTCCTGCTTCGGAGTGTGGGAAGGATTTCAAGGGAGGCGACCACCGTGGTCCTAGCCCCTGAGGGGCGTGGGGCTGCAGGGCTGGCGGCTGTGAGGACTCCGTGGCCCCACCGCAGGTTGTGGCAACTTGCAATTCATTTTGGTCTTGGGGGCAGAAGCCCCCTGTTATCTGTAGAGACAGAGACACAAAGAGATCTCAGAGGAGAGCCTTTGAGACATTTTAAACCAAGACTAGCCATTCTACCACCTTACCGTCTCTGGGCAGGCTGACGGGCGGAATTGGGGACAACAGTCTAGGAGTGCCCACGCCACACCCCAAACTCTAAACCAGACTCCCCTCCAACAGCCAACCCTGCCAGACAAGTAGGGTGAAGGCCACGGATACCAAAGGAGCTTGTGGGATGCCATGAGGGCGGGGCCAAGGCAGGGGCGGGCCACAGCTCGGCCAGTGTGGTAGCCGCCCTGAGCTCCCGGTAATGGCTCTCTGAACAGGACAGTTCTACCCTTTGTGGGAGTCACCTCGTCCCTAGGCTTTAGAGTCGCACAGACCAGGGATCGAGCCCCGCTCCGCCCCCAGCAGCAGCAGGCCCTTGGGGCGAGCCCTCTAACCCTCTGAGTCTCCACTTGTGCGTCCGGAAAATGGGGATGATACAGCCCCCGCACTGGGGATTCAGGGGGATTAAATGAGACAACACGTGGGAGGGCGTCTCCAGCAGCCAGCACCTGGGAGGCCGCAAAACATTTTGAGCAGGGGCCTTCTGCCCCCAAGAGGGCTGTGATGGCTACGACCACTGTGTCCCATTCAGACCAAGGCACCGGCTCTCCCACATTTTGCTATGCCCAAAATCGAGGCGCACTTTACATTCGCTGAGGTAAGAAAGCCTTGTGTCATCGCGAAATTGGCAGCTTCATTTTCTGAACTGGGGGGTAAAGGAATTAAGTGGGGCCTCTTGTAATTGATGGCGACTTAGGTTTTATGAAATACGATTTTATCCCCTACTTCCTGCAAAGGCGGATCCCGCCCCCTCCCCCACCCCCCAAGACAAGGCACTCACAGCTCCGTGTCCTCCAGGGCAGGTGGGCGCTCCAGCGCCTGCCTCCGCCTCCGCACGGCCCCCATGATCTTCTTGCGGGGCCCCAGCGGGACACTGATGCTGCGGAGGTCGAGGTCTGAGCACAGCATCAACGCCTCCAGGTCGATCTTCTCATGCCGCAGGAGGGAGGCAAAGTCCTCCATGTGCAGAGAGGCCAGGAAGGTCTCCAGCGGGCTCGTCTCAGGCTCCAGGTCCTCGTCGAGGCCCAAGTCCAGCTCGTCCCAGGGCAGCTCCTCCCCGCAGCTGCGGTCCTGCAGGCTGTTGGCACTGCCCAGGCTGTCATCGTCCAGGCTGGGGGAGCTCTGCAGCCGGCCCCGCAGCGTGCCCGCACCATCCAGCGCCGCGTCCTCGCGGCCCAGCCCATGCAGCCCGCTGCCCAGGTAGTTCCTGCGGAACACCATGGTGCCCAGGCCGGGGCGGGTAAACAGGGAGTCGTGGCCTGAGTCGGTGCTGACCTCCGAGTGGGCAGGCTCGGCCGCCAGTGTGGCACGGGAGACGCTGTCCTCGTCAGAGAGGAACATGTCCCGGAGTGGGGAGCGGCCCCAGTCCTTGGGGTTGGCGTAGGGTCCCTGGCGCACGAACATCACGTCGCTGCCCAGCTGCAGGCCGGAGAGCGAGCGCACGCTCTTGCGGCCGTCCTCCGAGATCTTGAAGGTGCCCTCGCCGCCCTGCTTGCGCCGCTCCAGCTTCCGCTGGATCTTGGTCTTGACCCTGTTGGTGCCATGCAGCGTGGCCTGCGAGTAGGGCAGGTGGCTGCCCAGCGGCAGGTGCTGCAGCCGGCTGCTCAGGGTGCTGGACGTGAGGCTGGAGAAGCTGAGCGTGTCGGAGCGCTCCGCCAGCTCGCGCCGGTAGCGCCGCTCCATGCGTTCGTGGTGCTTGCGCTGCATCTTGGCGCACTCGCGGATGCGCCGCTCGGCCTCGCGGAAGGCCTTGTCCTTCAGCTTGCCCACCAGCTTGGGGTTGAGGCTGCTCTGCTTGGCCGCGATGGAGTCCAGGTAGCGCACGCACTCCATGTGGCCCTTCATGGCGGCCATGTCCAGCGGGGTGTGGTAGTCGTTGTCCAGGCACCAGATGTTGGCCCCGAAGGACACCAGAAAGGAGAGACAGTGCAGGTGACCATTGGAAGCTGCCAGGTGCAGGGGCGTGTTGCCCCAGATGTCACACTTGTCCGGGTCACCCCTGTAGTGTGAACACGTGGAGAGGGGTGATGAGCCTCCTCAGCTGAGGCGGCAGTTGGCCGGTGCTGCGCGTGTGGGGAGCTCCCGCCCGGCTCAGCTGCCCCCACAGACACACCGAGGGACCCGAGGGGCTGAGATCCCTCCTCTGACTTCAGGAGACTCGCAGCCCTGAGCCCACGGGACAGAGATGGAGCGAGCCCAGGGGCAAAATGGCCCCAGGTCCGCAGGGGGTGGGGCGACAGAGAAGGCGGGGCCTTCCCCAAGAGAACTGAGGGCTGGGAATCTCAGGGGATAAATATTTGATGCCCAGAGAGAAAGGAGTGAATTATTCATGGGGCCTAGTGGGGAGCTGGCCCAGAGAGGTGGTGGGCCAGGGTGAGTCTGGGTCCCCAGGCAGACGTGGGGGTGAGCGGGCTGCATGTGCAGGAGTGACCGCAAAAGAGACCGAGAGGGTGGTGTGTGCTGGGCCTGAGCCCGGGTGAGTGCGTGAGGGTGTGTGCCTGCGTGGTGGCGGCGCGGCCATGTCTGCAGGGAGCAGGGCCAGGCCTGGCAGGCCCGAGTGTGAGAGCAGGTGTCGGGTCTTGGCCTGGGCCAGGAGGGGAGCGTGGGGGCAGCCAGGACTGGAGGGGAGGAGGAGGGAAGTCTGCGGCCGGGCCCGGCTGCGCCCAGCCGCCCTCCCCGCGCCTGCGGCCCCTGCCTGGGGAGCCCTGTGAGGCAGGCTGGCTTGGGCCTGTCGAGGGGACCCATGAGTCCCCTCCGACACCCTCGGCATCAGGCTGCCTTCCCCTTGGGCACGCTCCCGCTGGCGCCTCCAAGCTCTCCCCGCTCAGAGGCCCAGCTCAGCGCCTCAAGCTCCTGCTAATGAGGCCGCAAGGCCGTAGGCCCAGGAAGGCTGGAGGAAGAATCACTCCTTTGTCGTTACCGCTTCCTGAACAACCCCCTCCTCACGTCCCCTGCTAGTTGCCAAGTCCTGCGGGACAGTGTGGGAGGGCTGCTTGGCATCTGCTGTCCACACCTAAACACCAGCCCCTGCCCGCTGTGGGAGTTGCAGGGGGGCTGAGTCTCTGGGGGGGGGGCAGGAGGGCAGGGTCACTGTGTCCCCTCTTGGCATGGGGAGGGACTGGTCTGCCACTGGGAACATGGCTCAGCTGCCTGGTCTTAGGGGCTGCGTCCACCCTGCCGGGCTCCAGGAACAGCCACCGAGGAAGGGCAAGGGGGTTTCCCCTACGCGTCACATGTTCAGGCCACAGGCCAGCAGCTGGTACCAGGGCCAGCCGGGACCCTGGCCCTCCCCCATGACCTGCCAGGGCCTGAGATGTGCACGTCAGCCCTGGGGCATCGCTGCCACTCTTTTTCTCTGTCCAGGCTGTCCCGGTGTCCAGTTCAACCTGACTTCTCTTTCTAAATCTGCGGGGGGCGGAGAAGTTGTCTACAGTGTCATTCAGTGCCAGGAACCCGCTTCCGTGTCCCTGGGCCCTGCATTCCTCAACGGCTACCTCCAAGCCCCTTCCCTGGCCCTGACACCTGGATTCTGTGTCCCCCTCCCCTCAGACGACTCCAAAGGGAGGACGAGGGAGCCTCTGGTGGGGGAGGGGCACAAAGGGAGCTGGGGAGCGGCTGAACTCAGTGACATTTGGTTCTGTGGACAGAGCCCATAAATCCCAGCGACGAGGAGCAGGGCAGGAGAGTGTGGGCCCCAGCCCAGGGGGAGGGGGCGTCGCGCAGAGAGCCCTCTGGATGCCTGGCTGGGGACAGGCAGTGAGGAGCCCCTCCTTCCCTAGCCCCACCCTGACCCCACTGAGGCTTCTGCACCTTCTCGTTCCTTCTCACTGTGCCTCTCACACTTGCTTCAAGGTGCCACCCACCCAGGAGACCTCTCCCACACTCCCGCCTTCTCCTCACTCTGCAGACGCTCCCACGATCATGAACCCCCAAATCCTAGCCCTCCTCCCCTAGCCCCACATCCAGGTCACAAGCGCTGCCCGCCTCAGCTTGCGCTCCCCTCTTTCCACGAGGGCCAAGCTCCAAGGTCCAGCCTTAGGGTCTGTGGCTGGAGAAGGGAACGGCTCAGAGGAGCGGGTGCTCTGGCATCTGGGGGAGGGTCTCAGGGGGCTGGAGGGCGCTGAGACTCTCCTCCCCATCACCTGCGGGCCTGGGGCTGCGTACTCACCCCCGGCTCACGATGAGGCGCAGGGACTCCAGGTTGCCGTGGTAGGCAGCCCAGAGGGTGGGAGTCATGCCATCCTCGTCGGGTGCGTTCAGCTCCTTCCGGGTGGCCTCCTTGAGGAGCTCCAGGTAGCCGTCCCTGGCCGCCCGGTGGTACTGGTCGTTCATGGCTCCGGACTTGGGCAGGGCAGGCAGGGGACACGGGGAAAGGCCCCCCGCGGGGGAGGGTGTCGGAGTTAGGTCTGAGGCATGGGGTTAGGGGACGGGGCCGGGCCGGGGCAGGGGCCGGGGCCGCCAGCCCCCGCTGCCGCAGACGGTGGGTGCGGAGCGCCAGAGCCGCCGCTGGCTACTCCGACATCTGAGCCGCTCGCCGCCGGGAGGAGGAGGATCTCCGGCGGCAGGGGAGCCGCCCCCAGGCTGCCCCTGGGTCCTAAACACCCTGCTCCCGAGACCTCGGGGGACCAGGCCAGGCCCTGCCCTCTCTCCAAAAGCGCCCAGCCCAGAGCCCCGCCCTGTGAGAAGGACCCGTCTCGGGACCGTCCAAGGTCTGTCCCCACTAGAGCCCAAGTGCGCGGCTCGCGATGTCCCCACCCATCCAAGGAGCGGGCCAAGGGCTGGGGAGGGGTGTCTGAGGGCAGCCCTGACCCCTAGAACAGTGCGCCTATGCGGGGTGTTATTATCGACCGCCGGACAGTCGTCAGGTGGAACCCGAGGTCCTGGACGCTCCCGGGGCGTCGCCAAGAGTCGCTCCAGCAGGGGGCGCTAGAAGCCGGAGCGCGGATCGGTACGCCGCTGGGCACCGCGCGTCCGGGCTGAACTTGGCCGCAGCCCGCGGAGCCGGGAGACGGGGCGGGATAGAGGAAGGAGGAACTTCGATCAATGAAAGGATGTCGGGGAGAGGGGCACGAGGGTCCAGATCTTGGGGCAGCAAGAGAGGACCACAAAGGTACAGGGCGCCCCGAGGACTTTGTGGTGCCGGAGGGCCCGTGGGGCGTCTATTGAGCACAGGCCCTCGGGGCTCCTGGCGGCCAGGACGGCGGGGTGCCAGGGCGCGGCGGGCGGCGGGGGCGCGGTGCTCTCGGGATGGCGCATTGCGAGGCCGCGCCCGAGCCTGGTCCCTCGGAGGTGACGGGGCGGCCGCGGCGGCGGGGCCGGGCGGGGGCGCCTATTAACGGGTAAATATAAATCTCGCCTTCCTTGACTCCCGCGCGCTCTTTCCTAAATTCAGCTCGGAGAAGAGATGGGTCATGTGAGTGGGACCGAGAGGTTGATGGAGCCGGGCTCCCTCGGCTGTCAATCACCCTGCCCGCCCTGCTGCAAAGCGCCCGTCCAGACCTGCGTGGGAGAGAGGAGACGATCGCCGCCCTCCGACCCCCAGCTCGGAGCGGGCTTCCGGCCCAGCCAGGTGGGTGCCCCGGGCCAGGAGGCCCATGGATTTGGGGGATGGGGACCTTGGACGAAGTCGGACAGGGCAGTTTCAGCTTTTCTCTTCCCCATTCCCAGCTCTTCCTCTATCACCTGCAATCCCCTCTGAGTGAGAAATTCCCCCGTCCCCAAATCTAAGCATAAGATGGGGAATGAGCCCGGGGTCCTGCTCGCTCCTTCCCCACAGTGACCCTTCCAGCCTCCTCCAGTCGCCCTGCCATGTCCGAGGACCCGGCCGCCGGCCCCGAGGAGAGCCAGCCGGCGCCGCGGGCGGGCCCCCGCGAGGTGTGGAAGAAGGGCGGCCGCCTGCTGTCAGTGCTGCTGGCCGCGAACGCGCTGCTCCTCGCCTGCGCGATCATCAGCGGCGGCGCCTTTAACAAGGTGGCGGTGTACGACACCGACGTGTTCGCCCTGCTCACCACCATGATGCTGCTCGCTGCGCTCTGGATCCTCTTCTACCTCCTGCGCACCGTGCGCTGCCCCGAGGCCGTCCCCTACCGGGATGCGCATGCTGGCCCCATCTGGCTCAGAGGTGCCGGGGAAAGTGGGGGCCAGGGTGGGGTGGGCCAGGCAGGGGGCTGGAAGCTGGGGCTCTCCCAGGAATTGTGGAGTGCTTGGAGGTAGAGGGGTTAGAGGTTCCCCTGGCGAGCCTAGGTGTGGGTGAGGGGCACAGTTCAGGAGAAAAGGGTCCTGGAAGAGGGACGAAGAGGAATTTCTGTGCCCTGTCTGAAGAGCAAGAAAGTGTGGCCATGGGAGAGCCTACGATGGAGAGCAGAAAACAGATGACAGCCACAGCTGAAAGGGCCTATCTAGGGCCCCTCCCCTTATCTATTTAGCCTCAGCAAGATAGGGGCCCAACGGGATATCCATCCACCCACCCATTCAATCATACACTCACCCATCCATCCATCATGGCACCCCATCCATCCATCCAGCCAGCCACCCGTCCGACCAGTCACTCCTCTAGCCGCCTATCCTCAGATCCGTAAGCCTCCTCTCCTGCCTCTCTGATCCACCTCCCGAACCCCCTTCCCAGGGGGGCTGGTGCTGTTCGGGGTCTGCACTCTGGTCATGGATGTCTTCAAGACCGGCTACTACGCCAGCTTCCTTGAGTGCCAGTCAGCCATCAAGATCCTGCACCCCCTCGCCCAGGCTGTGTTTGTCATCGTCCAGGTGAGTGAGTGGGAGGGGCCAACATCTGGAGTGGGGTCCAGCTCCACTCTTGTTCTGCCCCGAGCAATCAGATAAGGTGGAGATAGAACTGTAGAGGAGACCGTATGAGTCCATGCATCTGGAAGCACTCGGTAATGAAGTAATGTCCAAACGTGAGTGTCTACTTAGGGGCCCCGTGACTTCGTTTCAACCTGAGCGGTGCCATTAGTTAACACCCGAGAGGCGTGAGTTGTGGCAGTCACCCTGTCTCCTAGAACCTGGCCTGCCCTCCCTGGGGGGCACAGAGGACGTCAGTCTCAGCCCAGGGCTCTGCTGTGGGCGTGGCCAGTTTGGCCTCGGCCATGGCCCTATGCTCTGCATTTGTTCAGGAAATAGGGTTCGCCATACCTGGGGCTTTTCAAACATGTTCAAATACATATATTTTTATTTATTGCACAAATAACATTTTGAAAGACCTTCCTACTGAGCTGAGGCAGAACTGGTCTCACATGGGACCAGAGCAGACCCCAGCCCTGGATGACCAGAGCGACCATAGGTATGGTTCCCCCCACACAAAACGTCATCCCTGTGGCCCCTTTTCCACAATTCAACACATTTATGACTTTGACATTGATGTAGTTTTAGTCTTTCGCGTTTCATGGGTTTGAAAAATACTCAGATACAAGGAAAACGCAGACACTCCACACAGCGAAGATGCGTTGGCAGCCGGATGAGAGCGAGGCCTTGCAGGGCACCGAGGGTGGAGGTGGGGCAGTGGATGTGCCCATGCAAGTGAGAAGTCGCCCGCGGTCCTTTCCGCCTGGGACAAGACCTGGCCTGAGGCGGGCCTTGCTCCCAGGAACAGACAACCAGGCACTCAAAACTCTACCAGGCCTCTATCCCGCACAAAACAAACACCAGGACCAAAAAGTTTTACAAGTGACATTTTTGCAAATTATTAGAGAGCAGAGTACTATTTTATATGGGTTGTTCCATAGAAGTATCCCTGGTCTCATTTTGTCAAGTTAAAATAAAATGAATAACTCAGTAGGAGGACTTTTGAGGTAGAGAGCGCTTAATGCTGGGCGTGGACATGGGCACTTTTTAACTGTTGTCGTTCTGCAGAGTAAAAGACCTTCCCCTTCTCTCTCAACACAGACTTACTTTCTCTGGGTCTCTGCTAAAGACTGTATTCACGCCCACCTGGATCTGACCCGGTGAGTCCGCAGCTCAGTGGTCCTGGCCAGCGTGCCGGTGCTCACCTTGCACAAGAGGTCAAGGTTTCCAACTTGAGGCACGGGTCCTCTGTCTGCCCCTTAGGCGGGGTTTCAACCAAAGCCCCCTGGCTTTGTCAGCCTGACCTCCATTCCTCTGCGCAATGGCGCATGTGGCAATTGGGCACTTTGGTGGGACAGGCTGTGTAGTGCGCTCCACACCCTTTTCCCGGGGAGAGGGGGCAGCGGAGCCTGAGCCCCTGGATCCCCCCAGGCACGCCCACAGCCCTCCAGACTCAGCTTCCTGTTCACCCAGGGGCCTGACTGTGTTCTTGTTTCCCAGCCCCATCTCTGCCATAGCTCCCCAACTCCCCCCACCTTGCGGAGGGGCCCAAGGTGAGCCCAAGACTCTCACAGGCGTCTTTGCTCTCCCTCCCCAAACAGGTGTGGTCTCATGTTCACACTCACCACCAACCTGGCCGTGTGGATGGCAGCCGTGGTGGATGAGTCCGTGCACCAGGCCTCCACCCACGGCACCCCCCATGGCAACGCGAGCCACCCCCGCCTTGCTCCTGACCGTGAGTGCCCGCTCCAAGTGGCCCCTGGCCCTGGAACTGCCAGGCCGCGGGCGGGCGCTTGTTCGCCTGTAGGGGTCAGCCTCCCCTGCTCCAGGCTCTGACCCTGGTGTGTGGGTGTAGATAACACAGGAGGAGGAGTATCGGGGACACCTTCCCATCCTGGAGGGTACAGCCTTGGCCCCCACGTCCAGGTCTCCATGCCACTGGAGGAGGACTTGGGGTCCACGCAGAAAGGACAAGGGTGATGGACATGCAGGGAGGAGGAGGGAGGCAGTGGCTCGATGGTGGAAACGTTGGAAGCGGGGGATCAGGTGGAGCACCTGGCGAGGGGAGGCTGGAGCTAACAATTGCGATGGTGACGGTGACAACCTCCTGAGCTGTACATGACAGGGGCTGCGGTGTCTTAAACAGTCTCTGCTATTTAACCCTCACAACTCTCCTGTGAGGTGGGTAGTAGTAATATTCCCATTTTACAGGTGAAGAAACTAAGGCACAGCGAGGTGATGCAGCTTGCCCAAGGCCACAGGGCTGGAGACTGGACAGCTCGTGTTCAGATCTGCCTTTGCTTTTAACCACAATGCTATACCGAGGAAGAATGGGGCCCACGGCCCCCCTGGCCCTACTCCTCTAGGCCCCTGATAGCCAGGACTGGACGAGATGGCGCAGTCCATCTGGACTTCGCCTGAAGACTCACTCACACACCCAGCACAGGAGGCCCAGGGAGGGAGAGCAGGGGTCCAGCCCCCGGGAGCCGGCCCACAGGACCGACACGGGGCCACTTTTTACATGCAGAGGATGGCTAAACCCAGCCTCGGAGGGAGGTGGCCAACTGAACGTGCTGGAGCTGCAGGGTGCAGAGGGGCATGCTGGGGAGGCACCTGCCCGGGGTTCAGAGTCAGGCCATTGGAGTTAGCTCTGCCATCACAAGTCACTGTGTCTCAGAAGCCTCAGTTTCTTCATCTGCAAAATCAGCTGGGCTAGTTCTGGAGATCAGGAGATGTTTGCCAAGGCATCCCACAGGGCGCCCTCGGGGTGCAGTGCGAGGTCCCTCTTAGCGCAGTACAAACCGAGGGCACGGGGTGGGGGATCATGGTCCAGACCTGGGCACAGCAGCTCACTTCCTGGGCTGAGTCTGACGCTGGGGAGAGCGTGGAGGAAGCTGGAACTTCAGGGGTTCCCAAGAGAGCCACTTTCTATCAGGACCAGAACCCTGTGTATGCTGAGGAACCAGGCGTCATTACCGGTGGGGACAGACGGGCAGTATTTTCCTGAAGAAATGGAGTAGGGTGAAGCAGGCAGTTTTGCAGTTCAGGTTTTCTTTCCTGTTTTTGTTGTTGTTACTGAGCACTGGCTATGGTTTACTGATAGGCCCCACAGCCTCTGGCACATAGTAGGTGTTCCATCAATAACTGTGGGACGAGTGAACATGCCAAGCCCGGCATAGGCGTTTGGGATGCGGTGGAGAACATGGCAGATAGAGACCCTGCCCTTACAAAGGCCGCAGGCAGGGGTCGGGCTCTTCAGACAGGGCGCGTCCAGCGGGGCAGGAGGGCGGTACAACTCTGTGCCCCTCTCTCCACAGCAGAGCGCGTGGGTGGCCAGCTCGGAGGCGACTGCCCGTGCGACACGGCCATCTGCAGGGTCTTCCAGCGGGGCTACTTCTACCTGTACCCCTTCAACATCGAGTACAGCCTCTTCGCCTCCACCATGCTCTACGTCATGTGGAAGAACGTGGGCCGGCTGCTGGCCTCCTCGACCCTCGGCCACGGCCACAACGCATCCCCAGCTGGCCTCCTCCGGGAGACGTTCTTTGCCGGCCCAGCCCTGGGCCTGATGCTCCTTATGGCGGGGCTGGCCGTCTTCCTCATCTACGAGGTCCGAGGGAGTGGGGACAGCGGCCCCACCCCTCAGGCCCTGGTCACCTACTACAGCTTCAACATCATCTGCCTAGGGCTCATGACCTTGGGCAGCCTGAGTGGCTCAGTCATCTACCGTTTTGACCGCCGGGCCATGGATCACCATAAGAACCCCACACGCACCCTGGACGTGGCCCTGCTCATGGGCGCCGCCCTGGGCCAGTACGCCATCTCTTACTACTCTATCATAGCCGTGGTTGTGGGCACGCCCCGGGACATGCTGGGGGCCCTCAACCTCGCGCATGCTGTGCTCACGATTGCCCAGCACACCTTCCAGAATGTGTTCATCATCGAGAGCCTCCACCGGGGCCCACCGGGGCCCGAGCCTCACGCTACCCCTCCCAAGGAGCCCTGCCTTACCTTTGCCAACCTGCATGCCCTCCACACCTTGCCCGCCTGCCCACCCACCCCCAGCCTGGTCGGCTCCAGCCCGGCAGGCCCTCAGGAAGCGTTGGCTGTTGTCTTGGCCCCCAGGGGCCACTGGAGACGCCGGTGCCTGAAGGACATCTCTCTGTTTCTCCTGCTCTGCAACATCATCGTGAGTACCTGGAGAGGCAGGGCAGATGGGCGGGGGAAGGCCAGGAAGGAGGTTCTTGCAGGTTCGTTCGCTTGCCTTTCTCTGCCTTGCCCCCAGCCTACTCGGGAACCTGCCGGTTATCCGGAAAAAGAGTCGGTTCAGAGAGGGTCAGGGGCAGCCCCCAGGCAAACAGCGTCTCAGGGCTCACAGAGAGTGAAGCCCCAGCGTTCTGGCACCCACGCAGCAGCGAGCTGGAGGGGTCCTGGGGATGCGGACGTGGGGGCTGGGCAGAGGTGAAAGGGGGCTGGGAGAACTGGTGTGGAGGGTGGGGCCCTCCCCCACCCCAACGTGGGAGGTGTGACCGCTCTTGTGAACTTGTGACCAGCCTGCTGCCCTGAATAACTGGAGCAGCATCAGGAAGTAGCGGGGACCAGTGTAAGTGTGAGCGGCCTGTTAGCAGGGCGCAGCAGCGGCCCAGCAGGGAAGGGGACGCCCTCCCCAGGGATTCAGCAAAGCTCCTGACTTTACCCCACACGACAGGCTTCACCCAACACAACTGGGGCGGTGGATGGAAGCACTCTTCACAGAGGAGCGCCCCGACAAACACTCCCATCCCCAACGCCGCTCCCACCCGGCAGTCTCCACATCCCCCCCAGGGGGCGCTCTAACACAGAACCCGTGTCCAGGAGTACATCCCACACACTCCTCTGAAGAACTTTCACTCCATGTGAAAATAGCCCTTTCAGCTCTAACTTCCAATGGCGGGGGGACTTGTAATATAGAAACAGCCTTCAGGTGGGTTTATCAGTATAAAACCTCCAGAGAGAATTCCACCCCTGTGGCATCCAGATGAAACACACCGACAATCCACCCTACCCGCGGGGCGTTCCCAGTGAGGTTGCCCATCCTACAGGTAACTCCCCCCCGCCGCAAAAAGTAGGGTGATCATCAATCTTTCTGACCTACCGGTGGAATCAATTGGGCTCAAAACACCATATTCTGAGCCAGCTTTAGTGCCACCCAGCCTGCAGGCTGGGGGTCCCTTTGAGGGGCTGAGCCTGGATTCTCTCTGAGAGCATCACCTCCAACTCCTTCACTTCTTAGCATAGAAACAGGCTGAGAAGGGGCCAAGGACACAGTTTATTGGGGAAGGGAAGCGTGCGGTTAGCTTAGCAGCCTTTGTTCTTTACCCCATACCCTATACCAGAACCTTCTGGCTGGACCGGGACCCTCAACCTTGCCGTGGGCCTGTGTGATTCTGCCACTCATCACTCCAGGAGAGAGCTCCTGACTTGGCCATTTCTAAATTTCTGTCAAATTCTCACAGGATCTATTGAAACCTCTGCCCCTCCCCCCACGTCAACGGCGGACCAGCGGGCCCCCCCCCCCCCCGCTGAGGACGGGAGATGCGATCGCAGGGGGAGCCCTTGCTGGGGAGGGTGCGCTGAGTTGCGGTCCTCAGGCAGCAGCACCCAGCCCTTGCTGTCCACCCAGCGAGAGGCTACTAAGGCGGCCGAGGGCAGGCCAGGCCCTGACACGCCCTCTGCCCCACAGCTGTGGATCATGCCTGCCTTCGGGGCCCGCCCTCACTTCAGCAACAAGGTGGAGGTGGACTTCTACGGCTACTCCCTCTGGGCAGCCATCGTCAACATCTGCCTGCCTTTCGGCATCTTCTACCGCATGCACGCTGTCTCCAGCCTGCTGGAGGTCTACGTGCTGTCCTGAAGCCCCTGGCAGACCCATGGAGTGGGGACACAGCTCAAGTGCCCACCCAGGGACCCCCAGGAATGAGCCCCAGGCTGGCGGTCGCTGCCACGTTACCACCTGTTCCCCAATGGCCCCAGAGTGGAATTTTCACACAAGTCTCTTCCGAGATGTATTTGAATTGCAGCCAGGACGTGCCCATCTACCCCAGCATGACCCTCCTGCATCGGTCCACGGGGCAGGGAGGTTTGTCCCTGAAGCACTTCCGGGACCAGGTTAGACCTGGGACTGTCAGTGGCTCCAGCTCCACCCTGAAGCCCAGCCCGGTGGCCTGGCCAGCGCTGCTGCCTGGAGCAGAACCTGGAAACCTACCGTGTGCCCCGCCCCCCATCTTGTCTCAGCCTCCCCATATGAGACGGTCACAGGGGGGGATCTTGGAGTCTGCGGGAAGGGCCCCTGCAGATTTTCAGATCTCAAGCTCTTCGGTGGGTGAGCCAAATCCGAGTTACAAACCAGTTACAGGCTAGGACCTGGGTGGCGGAGAGGGGCCGGGCAGAGCACCCAGGCTGCCACCTTCCTCTTCCCTTTATCCTCAAGTGACATACAGTGTTTATGTGTTCCTTGACTCAGGAAAGGTCAGGAAGTACTGACCTAGTCCAACCACCATTTACACAGAAGGAATCTGAGGCCTAGAGAGGCAGTGCGGCTTGCCCCAGTCCCACAGCTGGAGAGGCCGGAGCCTTCCTCAGATTCGTAACTTTCAAACAGCAGAAGTTTCCCCCCGTAAAGTATTTCAGAAACGCAAATTTATAACCCAGACATAAACAGGGCTGTTCCAGTTTCAGAGGAGCTAGTGATGCAGACCTCAGCCACCAGGCCTCCGCTCTGCCCCCTGCCCCGCCCCCGACACCAGGGACCCTGAGGCTCCTCTCCAGAAGATAGAGACGTGGCTTGGCAGGGAGAGAGACTGGGACCCTCAGACAGAGCACAGAGGCAGAAGGAGGCAGACAGCTAGAACAGGAGGAAGAATTGGCCAGTGACAGGCAAGGGTGGGGCATGGGGTGGGGTTGGGCGGGCGGAGCGTGTGGGAGCCCCAGGACTGGCGCGGGGTGGGGGGCGCTTCAGAGGAAAATGTGCCAGCGCCTGGCCACGGAGTGAGGTGGACCTGCCCCAGGAGCCACGGGAGAAGCTGAGGAGGGCAACTTGTCACCCTACCTGCCTTCTGCCCTGCCTGAGTGGGGTCTCTTCCTCCCCGAGCTCATGGGAGACTTAAGGAGAGAGAAGGTGCTGGAACAGGCCGGGTGACAAGGTTGCTGTGAGGCCATGGAAGGCCTGGTGCTGAGTGGGGTTACAGGAAGGGGGGACCTGGAGGTGTCATTCCTGCTTGGAAGCCAGAGGAAAGTGAGGCCTGAGTCCCCGCAAGTCCAGCACTGCGACCTAAGGACATTGCCCCCCACCCCTCCCTGGAGGCCACCAGGTCAGGGGATCGCCTGACCCTGAGCCTGCGCCCAAATTGCCTCCGGCCCCTCCCGTCTGTCCAGCCGCCTCTCTATTGGCTGCCCTGTCCCGGCCGGAGCCCCTGGCGGGGTAATTAACTAAGGATTAATGATATCCCCAAAGTCAACAGAAAAATCGATGGATCTGCTCAGCCCGAGCGGCGGCTGCGCAGTCCCGCTGGGGGAGGGCGTCGGGGACCTCGACCGGGGCGCTGGGGCCTCACCTGGGCAGACGGTCGGCGCCGCGCCCGCAGTCGGTGCTCAGCCGGCAGCGATGTCTGTCGAGGCCGCAGGTAAGGCACCCCCGGGACGCCCTTAGGGCCAGGCTGGAGCGCTCTCGGACCCCGGGCGGGACCTTCTGGGCAAGCCCACCTGGACATTCGCACCTACTCCTGCCCCCGGGGTTCAGGGGCGAGGTGCTGCAGGGGTGGAGGCGGGAGGGCGGGGTGACTGCGGGGAGGCCAGGCCAACCCCTGGCGGCTGGAGCAGCGGCCTCTCTCTGGCTCCGGCCCCGGCCCCGGCCCCGCGCCCCACCTCCTTTCCGCGGGTGTGTACGCACAGCCGAAAGGCGGCGCGGAGGCCAGACAGGAGAGAAAAACCTAGACGGCCAGAGAGGGAGGTTGTGGGGTTGGTGCTGCCTGGGCTCCAGATCTGAGCCCGGGTGTAGCGGCTGCCCCAGCCTCGCAGTCCCGCGAGTGGCTCGGAAAGAAACCCCGACGCTCCCGGCCCGCGCTCAGCGGCCTCTTCCGGAGCTGAGGCTGCGCTCCGCGCCGGGCGCCGCCCGCCCCCCGCGACAGCCGCGCGGCCTTCATCACCGGCCTCCAGCCGTGACCCACAAACAGTGGTGCGGCCTCCCTCGGGCGGGTGTCGCGCCAGAGGGCGGCCGGCTCCTCCCTGACGGTTCCGGAGCCCTTGTCTTCTTTCCGCGACCCCGACGTGCGGACCGGTCAAGCTCCTCCCCACCGAGTCCGCCACTCTGAGGGCTCCCGCAGCGGCTGTTGGAGGGTCGAGCCCCACGGGTGCGGGTCGGGGACGTATGTTGAGGACCGCGGAGGGAGGGGAACCAGAACTTTACCCTCCAGTGGCCCCTCTAGGCCCGCAGTCCAAGCAAACCCCCCCCGCCCCGCCCCGGAAATTCACCAATAATCTCAACCCTTTCAGCCTCTCCGGGATTTTGAAAGAACTGGAAGGAAATGCTCAAATCGCTAACATTGAGAGCTTTCTGTGTACCAGACACTGATCTACATTTATTTACATAAACGAAATCATTTAATTTTTATAAAACCCTGCAACAGAAGTGTTACGCATTAATTCCGTCCTTTATTCGTTCGAGAAATCGTGTGGAAGAATTGTTGAGTAGCCCTCCCTACCAGGTACTGTCCTGTAGTTGTATCTCTGCTTTACAGATGGGGAAACCAAGGCACACAGAACCTGAGTAGCTCGTCCAGGGTCACACAGGTAGTAGGTGTCAGAGTCTGGGCTCTAAATCTCCAGGCTATCGTGCCTCGGGCAGAGGGGGGCCCCTCCAAGAACGGGGAGGTGGGGCAGTCAGGGCTGGGAGGAACAGAGCCGGGAGCCCCAGGCTCGCTGCCGCCGGGCAGGGAGACCAGGAGGAAAGGCGCTGCGCTGTGGAAAGCCGCCTCTGCGGAGGTTGACTGGGAAGGGGCTCTGTCCATAGCTCTGGTGCTGAAGTTCCCCAGAAAATGCCCGAGCAGTCAGCAAAGGCTGGGTGAGTGTCGTGTTGTGCCAAGGTTGGGGGAGGGGGGTCGAGTTAAGCAGGACCTAGTCTCTGCCCTGGAGGAGTTCCTGGCCTCTAAGGCGGGGGGACAGCCACACCCACAGCACCTCCCCAGGCAGTGCACACACCCACTCTCAACAGCTGCGTGAGCCGAGAGAGGGCTTCCCAGGGCAGGTCCTTTGGGTGGCTGGCGAGGAGGCGTGAGAGCCGCAGCGGAGAGGGCAGGCGAGGCAGGAAGCACCACGGGCTCCAGGAGCCAGGGTGGGAGGCAGCAGACCACGGGAGCGATGTGGGGCCCTCATCAGGGAAGAGAAGAAAGCAAGGCAGGGGCATTCTGGGAGCTGCAGCGGGATGGCACGGCCCGTGGGCAAGGGGTTCTGATGGCAGAGCTAGAGAGTAAGTGGGGGCCGGAGCAGGAAGCGACCGCGGCTACCCAGCCTCCAGCATTCCGTGCGGTACCAGCCCATGCTACACACACGGTGCCTTGTTTCATTTTGAGAGGGCATGTGAGGCTGTTTGGACTTTATACCGAGGGCGATCAGTTGCCTTTGCAGAGCTCACAGTAGGAAAGAGCCATGGCGGGCAGGGAGACCAACCCAGGAGCCGGGTAGCTCAGTTGGTTAGAATGGAGTCCTGATACGTCGAGGTTGCAGGTTCGATCTCCGGTCAGGGTACATGCAAGAAGCAACCAATGAAAGCATGAATGGGTGGAGCAACAAACCTCTCCCTCGCCTTCGCCATCTCTAAAAATAAGTAAATAAATTTTTTAAAAAGAGAGAGAGACCCGCCCAGGAGAGAAAGGAGGGGGCTCTGGACTAGGGTAGTGGCTGAGGTCAAGAAAGATCTAAGAGCAATTTGCAGGCTGGGATGGACAGGCTTGGCGCCTGGGAGGGGGCCCGGTGAGGGGGCCTCCTGCAGCCTGGAGAATGGGCCCAGGGAGCACTTAGAACCCTCAGCCCAGAGCATCAGGGATGTGAGGGCGGCCGCAGGACCAAAGCAGAGCCCCTGGGGGGGACAGGGGCTGGGGAGGGGCCTCCCGGGGCAGCTCAGGAGCAGCCTTCTCATCGGGACAGCACCCGGCACCAGCGGGCGCCCCCTCTGTAACGCAGCTCAGTCCCACAAGGAACGAGCACCCAAGGGTCCACAGGGGAGTATGCCCGGCTCCAGGCTACGGCCCTAAGTGACAGGTATGGGGTGGCCTAGTCCTGGGTCCGAGAGATAGGTGACAAAGGAGTCGGCCTGAGGGAAAACTTGGGGACAATGAGGAAAGAACAGGAGACATCCAGGGAAAGAGGAGGGTGAAGGGTGACATTCTCCACGTCGTGCTGGGCACTTGTGGGGTTAGGGGCAGGTGGTGCCGAGGGAGGTCCGTTCTGTCAGAGTCAAGGGCGTGGCGTTTGTGCTGCCCCCAGCCTGCCCCATGCTCATGGCAGGCACTGCGGATCAACCCCAGAAGTTTTCCCTTAAGCCTTGAACATCAACTCTTTAACTGTGTAAGTAATGTGTTTTTAAAAACTAGAACATTAAACCACCACTACTCGTCCCTTCCCCAGAAGAAACTCCCATGTAAATCTGGTGGGTATCTTCTAGACCTTTCCAGAGCGATTTTATCTACACCCGTGGGGGTCCCTACAGAGCACTATCTCAGATCACAGCGTTCTATCCCACCGAACCCACCCGCGGCCTCCGGAGCCCCTCAACACTACACTCTAGGCAACTGTTACCTACTAGTCAGAGCCAGGATGAGAGAGGGCACCTAGTTGCTCTTTCACTCCGGCATGAAATTCCTCCCAGAAGTCAGCAGCCCACAAGCTGCCCTTTGGTGGCCAAAAGTCGCAGATATGGGGGCTGCCCGATGGCCAGGTACCACGTGGACGCCCCGAGCCCCCTGACAAACATTATTATCCCATCTGAGGATCAGGCACTGGGCCAGGAAGTGGCGTGGGGAGGGAGGTGGTGGTCCTCAAGCCAGCAGAAATGATCTGTGTGAACGTGGAGCACAAAGGGTTCCCACATCCGCCCCCCACCCTGTCTGTTGGAACCTCCCAGGGTCCTGGAAGATAGATGGGCAGCTACTATTATTGCCAGTGTTCTGACCAGAGAGGTTGCATGATTTTCCCTAGACCACACAGCAGCTAGGGGCAGGGATGGAATGGAACCCGGCATAGCCTGGCAGCCAATCAGTGCCCTTCTCCCTTCCAGACCCCGCTGAGGCTGCGCCGGTGGCCTCTGCGGAAGCACAGGAGACTGGAGCGGCCGTGGCCAAGGACAGCCCGGTGGACATGGGGCCCCAGGAGACGGGAGCCCCCGCCTCACCCCGCCAGAAGTCCTGGCTGGTGCGGCATTTCTCACTGTTGCTGCGGCGGGACCGACAGGCCCAGAAGGCGGGGCAGCTCTTCTCGGGGCTTCTGGCCCTCAACGTGGTGTTCCTGGGCGGTGCCTTCATCTGCAGCATGATCTTCAACAATGTGGCCGTGACGCTGGGCGATGTGTGGGTCCTGCTGGCTGTGCTGAAGGCCCTCTCCCTCCTCTGGCTACTCTACTACGTGGCGGGCACCACCCGCCGCCCACATGCCGTGCTCCACCGGGACCCTCGTGCGGGACCCATTTGGGTGCGGGGTGAGTATCAGGACGCTGGGTCGATGGAGGGGGTGGGGAGCGGGAGGTGCCAATGGCCGCCTGGCCCCGCCAGGTTCCCTGTTGCTCTTCGGCAGCTGCACCGTCTGCCTCAACATCTTCCGCGTGGGCTACGACGTGAGCCACATCTACTGCAAGTCACAGCTGGAGCTCATCTTCCCCACCATCGAGATCATCTTCATCGGCATCCAGGTGACAGGCCCTCCCCCACCCAGGCCACTGGCCGCACGGTCTCCCTGCCTAAGCTGCGCGCACACGCGCCCCAACCTGTGCCTGCAAATGGCCTCACGGGAAATGCCCGCAAGGCCCAGAGTACGGACACACACACCGCAGCCCCCACAGGCGCCTGCCTCCGCGCACGCCGTGCCGCTGGGACACAGCCACCTGTAAACGCGTCCACCTGTGCCGGCAAGCTCCCAGATCACAAAGCCTAATGATGAAATATCCAGCTCCCTCCCGACTCTCTGTTCTGCACCAGGCACTGGGTTTCATTTGCATCCCCTTTTTTATTTCCCAGAGAAATAGGCCTTCCCCTGAGCGGCAGGCATTTGTGTCCCCTTCTAGAGCTGAGGGGGCTGAGGCCCAGAGACCTCTTGCCACTGGCCCAAAACCACACAGCAAAGAAACGGCGGAGCCCAGACTGCAGGCCAGGTTTCCTCGCTGTGTCTTCCACTGAAAATACACACAAGCAGCTGAGGCACCCTAGTCCCCCATAGTCCCACCCCCACCATCCCGGGCCCTGGGCTCAAGGCCTTGTCTCTTTCAGACCTGGGTGCTCTGGAAACACTGTAAGGACTGTATTCAGGTCCAGGCCAACCTCACTAGGTAAGGCAGGGGTGCCTTCTCTCCCTCCAGCTCCCAGGGCTCCCTGCCCCCTGCAGCTTCCCTGGACAGGGTGAACCTGGGGCTGTGGGTTAGTCTGGGAATGGTCCCAGGTGGCCCATGGGGCTGCCTCTCCAGAAGTCCTCATGCCAGATGGGATTCGGCTTTGAGAGAGGGCGCCCCTCCGCCCAGTGCGGGGACGGTGAGGGCTGGGCCCCCAGGGAGCCGGCTCGGCTGTGTGGGCAAGTGCGGCCTCTCCGGCAGGTGCGGCCTGATGCTGACCTTGGCCACGAACCTGCTGATGTGGGTTCTGGCCGTCACCAATGACTCCCTGCACCGCAAGATCGAGGCGGAGCTCAATGGCCTCATGGACAATTTCTCAGGTACAGAGGAGACCATGCCCCGCACCCTGATATGTGCATACTCCCTCCCCCGTGCACGCGCGTGCATGCACACATGCACGCGCGCACACATCCCTCAAGTGGGTGAGGCTCCGTGAGTCTATAGCGTTGGGAGAAACTCCAGAGGCTGGATCATGACTAAATAGAAAACGGGCGTTGGCCCATGGCTCCCATCCTGCTCCGTTCTGTGCCTGACCCCGCAGGCGTTGCCACCCTGCACGCCTGCTCCAGGCAGCCCTCACCTGTCAGCGAGGGAGCCACTGATGCAGGCTGAGCCCCTCACCGGCAAGGTCACCTGGGCACCCCGCCGCTGGCATTTGCATTTTACTTGCAAGAAGGCTAATCCACGTCAAGACTGAAAGAAATGTCTTCCTGGCACAATTGTGGGTGCCTGGACTTACTAGGAGGGAGGGAAGACTTCTGGGGAGAAAGAGCTCCCCCATCGTCCCATGTGCTCAAGCCTCACCTGGACGGTCTGGCCCCTAGAGACTATGTCTCATAAACCTACATGGCTGTGTCTGTGGGACATGAGGCCACACCTGCATGTATATGGCCCCCCAGGAGGCAGCACCTCCCAGCTCGTGCACAGCCAGACCCTCCCAGCGCGCCCACGCACTCCCACGCCTGCCGCCTTACTCAGGGCCGCCTGCCGGCGGCGCGCGCCCCTCCTGCCCTGGGTCCATTTCTCAGAGGAGCTGTGCAAAGAGAATTTTTTCCAAGTGATATCATAGATTGTTTTGTAATTAAAAATTCAGACTTAGAGAGGAGTAGAAGAACGAGATACATCCATCACCCAGGCACAAGAACGATGAACATTTTGCCATATTTATTTTGTGGCTGAATTATTTACATAATTGAGATCATAGCATTTCATCTCAAGACTTTTTGCTGTGCATCTCTTTGAAATAAATATATTTCACTACGCTACAACGTTATTATAACCTCTAACAAAATTCCTTAACATCATCCCCATCCTCTATATCAATCTATATTAACTTTTACAATCAGCCTATGAAACGTTTTTTATGATGGTTTGTTCAAACATGCAATGCCTTTGGTGGTTCATTTTCTTTTTTCCTCATGACATTGAAATTTGTCAAGTTGCTTCCTAGCAGTGGCATTTGACTTGTCCTCCCTGCTTTTCCTGGAAACTGGAGGTAGGGACCGGAGCCTTGATTAGATACAGACCAAACACTGTTGGCCCCCACACCCCACACGTGGGTGCCTTGCGGGGCACCTCACCGCGATTGCCAGGTTACCCCTTGGTGCATTCTGCCCGGGGTTCAGGTGTAGCAGCCAGGTCCTAACGCTACAGGTTTTCCCCTTGTGCCCAACAAGTGATGTGTGCAGGTGACATTTGGCACCAAAGACCTCACGCATTAAATGCTTTCCGTAAGTTTGACACCTGAAGTCTGGAATCCCTTTGTAAAGGAAGGCCCATCCTGTGATCTCTGATTTCTCTCTCTGGGCATCAGTTTCCATACCTGTGAAATGGGTGGCTGGGTCCCTACTCCTCTGGCAAACTCCAGGGAGGGAATGGGACTGACTCATGCAGTGGGCTTCCTCAGAGCAAGACGCACCTAAGTATCTGCCCCCTCTCCCACCGTCTCCCAGGCAACACCACCAACACCTGCCTGTGCCTCAATGCCACAGTGTGCGAGGTCTTTCAGAAGGGCTACCTGATGCTCTACCCCTTCAGCACCGAGTACTGCCTCATCTGCTGTGCTGTGCTCTTTGTCATGTGGAAGAACGTGGGCCGCCGCCTGGCACCCCATGCGAGCGCCCACCCCAGCCCCCCACCCTTCCACCTGCGCGGAGCCATCTTCGGGCTGCTGCTGGGCCTGCTGGCCCTGGTGGCCGGCGTGTGTGTCTTCGTGATCTTCCAGATTGAAGCAAGTGGCCCTACCATCGCCCACCAGTACTTCATCCTCTACTACGCCTTCTATGCAGCTGTGCTACCCACCATGAGCCTGGCGTGCCTGGCAGGCACAGCCATCCACGGGCTGGAGGAGAGAGAGCTGGACACGCTCAAGAACCCCACCCGCAGCCTGGATGTGGTGCTGCTCATGGGGGCAGCGCTGGGCCAGACGGGCATCGCCTACTTCTCCATCGTGGCCATCGTGGCCACGCACCCCCACGGGCTGCTCAACCGCCTGGTCCTGGCCTACTCGCTGCTGCTCATCCTGCAGCACATGGCCCAGAACCTCTTCATCATCGAGGGCCTGCACCGGCGCCCGCTCTGGGAGGCAGCTCCCACTGAGGCGGAGCCGCACGGCCGGGGCTCCCCGCCAGAGCTGGGCCCGGGCCTGCAGCGGGCCTCGTGCGCCTCCCCCGGCTACTGCAGCCGCCTCAATTGGAAGCGGCGGGCACTCCGGGAGCTCTCACTCTTCCTCATCCTCTGCAACATCACGGTGAGTGACGCCAGGGCATGGGGTGCAGCTGGCCAGGCGGCCTCAGCCATCCTCACTCAGGGAAGGGCGGTTCAAGGTGCGTTCACTGCGCATGGACTGTCCCAAGGGGGACTGGCTCCTCCCTACGATTGCCAAGGACACATGCTTCTTTCCAACTAACTCTGTGACGCTTGAGAGCAGAGAGAGCCCCCCAGCTCCGTGCAGGGGACCTGGCATGAATGAACATACCGGACCCATAGCCAACTGCACTTTATAAGGAAATACGTAAGAACCTTCCCCTCAGGAAGCTTCCTGTCTAGTTGGGGAGACATCGGGGAAACAAGTAGGAAATTACCAAATGATTAGTCATCCCCTGATATCAGTCAAAGGAAGGGATTGGAAGGTGCCTGGTTTTCTAAAGGTCTTCTAGAGGAAGGTGTGGACGATGCCTGCTCAGCCAGGTCCTCCTCCCCAGGCGGTAGCTCTGCACCTTGTGACTCATCACAGCAAATCCACGCAGCGGGCACGATTGCCGTCCCCAGCTCACGATGAGGAAACTGAGGCTTAGGCTGCTTGACCTGCCCCATCCCACAGCCTAAGCGGCAGTGCTGCTGGGACAACTCAGGGCGGTTTGAGCACAAGGTGGTAATGACAGGGCTGGAAATACACCCTTGACGTTTAAACCCCTGGTCCAGGCAGAGAATGAGGAAGAAATTGGCCCTCGAGTGCAGCAGGGCCTCAGAGAAGGAAGCGTGGGCCTGAGTGGCCAAGAAAGGCTTCGAGAAAGTTTGACCTGGGCCTCCGGAAACGGGTGGAATGTGGACCGGAGGCGGGGCCGGGGTGGGGGGTGGGGGGTGGGCAGGAGGATGAAGCTGCAGAAGAGGAAGGTGGAGATAAAGGCACAGGGGCGCCCAGGGAGACAGAGCAGGTTGTCCCAGGGGTAGCGGCAACCTGGGGTCCATGACCCATCGGGGTTCAGGCTGGCAAGCCGAGGGGGGGCTGCAGTGGGTGAGAGGGACTAGCTATGGAGGCCAAAGGCTGTGGGATGTGCTGGAGGAGATATAGATCCTGGCGCCTCCCCCCCCCAGCAGCTGGGTGCGCCCCGCCCCACTCACCCCCCTCCTCTCCTCCCCAGCTGTGGATGATGCCTGCGTTTGGCATACACCCCGAGTTTGAGAACGGACTGGAGAAGGACTTCTATGGCTACCGGACGTGGTTCACCATCATCAACTTTGGCCTGCCACTGGGGGTCTTCTACCGCATGCACTCTGTCGGGGGGCTTGTGGAGGTTTACTTGGGGGCCTGAGGCTGCCTAAGGAACTCACCCCTGGCAGAACCCCAAAGTGCCAAGGCTGGGAAAATGTAGCCCAGAGTCTCTGAGCAGACGCCCCATCCCAGGAGGGCTTAGGGGAGCCTGGGTTTCCCAAAGAGCCTCACCAGAGGCGCAAGGAGAGTGGGTCGCAGTTCACAGCCCGAGACCAAGGGCGAAGCCTGAACACTGAGCCTCTGATGCCCACGCTGAGGACCGCACACGCCTGCCCCTGCTCACAGCACATTGGTACAGCCCAGGGTGCACCCAGGAAGCCCCCCAGCTATTCAGGGAGGGCCAGCCCTAAATGACTGAGTCTGGGGAGCATGGAGAGGGGTCCCCCTACCCAGCCAGGCCTCTGGGGTCTGCCTCCTGCCGGGGGTAGGGTGCATGGTCTGAGCTTGGCCCAGGGCATCCTGGAAGCAGGCAGCTCAGCAGGCCGCCCTGCCCTTCTCCCCCTGCACAACCTAATAAGCTCATTAATTAGCTGCCAGGCAGGGTTCAACAGCTCTCTCCCGCTGCCATAAACTCTGTTTGTTTGATTGATTACACTCGGGCTTCGTGGCATTTGTTCCCAGAGAGAGAGCTGCCACTCCGGGAATGGTGGGAAGGGACTGTCCTTCCGGGCAGGGCTGTGGGGTTGGGACAGTCTTGTTCCTGGGCCAGGAGAGGTCTAAACCAGTTCTTGTCTGGTCCATGGGACAGGTGGAAAGAGAGGGGCCAGGGCTCTTGTGTCCCCTGCTCCCCCAGCCGTCAGCCTGCCCTCTTTCTCTGACACAGAGCCCAGGTGGCTTTCTGGAGCCGGCTCGCCACAGGGCTGTGGCCTCTGGCTGCTGGGCCCAGGTCTGCCAGACCCTCCGAACCACTGGGCAGGAAGGGCAGCTGTGACAGCCCATCCACCTCCCTGAGCCCGGGGCAAACACGGGGCTGGGCCAGGGGAGGGGCCTGAGGGGGCGGCCCCAGGCCTGCAGCAGGCTTTGCAAGCCTCTGGACACCACCCCAGAGAGCCGAGCCCTGGCAGGCACAGCACCAAGGCCCCAGGCCCCCCCCCACCCCGCGCTCTTCCAGTGGCTGCCTGGGGCCAGCAGCACGCTGGGGGTCGTGCAGAACGCTGGGCGGCAGGACCCCGCCCTCTTGGGTGGGCTCTTTCTCTGAGCGGCCACAGCCCAGGAGTCCAATTCTCCAGTGTCCCCCACCCCCAGGAAATGACAAACACAGGGGCCAATTCTCCAGTGTCCCCTACCCCAAGGAAACGACAAACACAGGTTCAGCCAGGCACTAAGACCCTCTGGGGACTGCCTCTGGGAGGCAGGATCCCCCACTCCCTGACGACAGGAGCCGCGGCCTGACCACCACCCCCCTTCCCCAGCACAGAGCGCCAGGGCGTGGACAGGGGGGTTTATTGTGTAAAGAGGCCGATTGTACAGAGCAGATTGTACTGACACCAGTGGGTGAGGGCAAGCCAGAGGCCAGAGCCGGGAGGACGGAGGGGAGGGGAGGACTGAATGGTTGCCCCTCCCTCCTCATTCCCTTTGCCCCGGTTACTGGACAGAAGAAGGAGCCAGGCTATATCCACTGACCTGGAAAAACATAGCAGGATACCCTCCACACCCCAGTCCAAACCCCTAAAATGCATGGGGTCCCCCAGCCCTGCCTCAAGCAGCTTGGTCATGTGCCGTCCTCCCCGAGGCGCCGGCAGTGAGCCGGGCCTGGACCAGGCAGTTTCTGGTTAGGAGACGTGGATGGGCTCCCCTGGCCCTGCCCAGGCGCCTCAAGGGACAGCCCACAGCTCCGCCCCAGGCAACCCCTTAGGGCACAGTGCCTGGACGGCCTCTGGGGGTGAGCAGGACGGGGCCTGGGTGGCCACTGAGGGTCCGCATAGAAACAGGTCTTGATGGGGAGCAGAGTGAGGTGGGGGCTCCGGCCGGGGCCTGCGGCCTGGGGGCCAGGAGGCTCCAGGAGGTGGGGGCAGTTCAGAGGAGGTCAGAGCCAGCGTCCCTGCCACAAGGGCCTCCAGGGCCCGCCACCCAGGACTCGGCCACTCTGCCGGCCCCCAGCCCTGATCATGGTAAGTTAAAGCTCAGCATGGTCAGGGGGTCAGTGGCCGGAGGATGGGGGGCCTGGGGCCCCCACGGTCCCCTGCCCCGCCCCTTGCAGGCTGCCATCCTCACACCCGCTGGATCTCAAACAGCTTCACGTCGGTGTCGTACCAGACGGGCGGGTCCACGTTCCTGCGGAGGGGGTGCATTGTCATCAGGTGCTGGGGGGCCTCGCAGAAAGACCGTGGGGATGCCAGGCAGTGCGACAGCCCAGACCCCCCCCCTCCCTGAGGTCCCTCCTCGGTGTCCCTCCCTCAGCCAGACAGGACAGCCCTGGCCGACTGTCTCGGCACGAAGCCCGCTACGATGGTGGGACCCAGCGCTGAGGCCCCCCGGTGAGCCCTGCTGGGCAGACCCTCCGGTGGACACCAGACCCCCTAGGCAGGCAACGGCCCCACCCCTACGGGGCCCACCTCAGATAGATGACACCCCACATGTAGGTGCGGAACCACATGGCCGTGTCCGAGTTGGCCTGGTACTTCCGGATGAGGATGGGGTGGGGCACGGGCAGAAGCCCCACCAGGGTGCCGTGCTGCAGGAACCTCAGGATCTCCGACTCATCTGTCAGGCCCCTGTCGGGGACGCGGGGTGGGGTCTCTAACGTGCTCATGTGGAAAGCCACCATGAAGGTCAAGGGGAGCAGGGGCTCACCGAGGACCCCCCCCGAGGCCTGAGCTCCTGGTCACACCACCCCCCAAGCCTGGGCTGGCCCCTCCTCAGAGCCCACCTGTCTCCCCGCACCCTCACCGCTCCACCGCCCCCATGCCCCCTCCCCCAGCCTCACTTGTCAATGCAGATCTTCTCCACCTGGGGAACCAGCACCTGGAGCAGCCTCATGATGGTCTGCAGCGGCAGCTTCGACTTCCAGGAGAGGACCTGGGGGAGGGGGCAGAGCTCCTGGGAAAGCGCCAGAGGCTGTGGGACAGGCGCGCCCCCTGCCCCAGGACTGCACGTTCCCCAAGGCCAAAAGTGTCCCCGATCACCACAGCGAGGGCCTGGCACAGGGCGGTGCCCATGAACAGTGACTTTTTTTCGTCGCCTCGCATTGAGCACATACTATATGCCAGAAACTGCCCCCTTGGATCCTCACAAGGGCACAATCAGGCAAGCACGTTTACTATCCCCATGCGAACACCGCTGGTGGCGGCCTCGGGGAACACATAAAAGCCTGGGCGAGTCATTCAGGGAAGGAAGCTGGAGAGGCTGGTTCATTAAGAACGGCAGTGCCCTGGGCAACTGAAGCTCAACCCTGCTGTCCAGGAGGCGTCCCAGTCAGCGGGACGCCAAGGCCGCCCAGCCGGGAGCACCGACTCGCAGCCTGGCTCCCAGGCCAGCCCTCGGATTTGGACACATGGCCATACGGGCTTTACTTACGGAGCTGTTCCTAGTCCCGAGAGTCCCCGGCCCAGCCCCCACATGGGTGCCACCAGCCCCGACCCTCACCCACTCTGACGTCGGGTTCCACTGTCCACTGGCTGACGCGCTCGACAGTTGCCGCTGCTCCCGCCAGGCCTGGCTGGGCTCCTGGTCCCAGGACGGGAATGGGAGTGAGGGTGGAGGAGTGGGTACGGGGCGGGTGCAGAGGGCAGGGAAGCAGCCCCTCTCCCGACCCACCCGCAGTCTGGAAACTGGCAGGGCACTGGGGTCTCCGCTCACTAGCCCACGTGCATGGCCGGGCGGCTCACCCCCAACGGAGGGGACAGCTCAGCCCAGCACCCTTTGCCCTGGGCCCCAGGCCCTGCCCTGCCCAGCCCAGCCCAGCCCAGCTCTGTGACAGGTTCAGGGTAAAGGCCAGCCCAACCTTAGATAAGGCTGATGGATGAGGAGTCTGATGGCCCAGGGCTTGAGCCGGTGACCAATACAAAAGGGAGGGTCCGCGAAAGCCTCCTCCCCAGAGAGTCGGGGGGTGCTTGCCCCTCTGCGGCTGGTGGCAGATGCCTCGGAGGCCAGGAAGAGAGGGGACGCTCGGCCTTACCCAACCCCAGGCGTCCCCGTCACCCACCTCCTCAGCTGGACTGCCGTCTGCGGAGCCCTGTTGGGACGCAGGCTCCAGGGACCGCAAGGTGCCGTCCTCCGACACCTGGGACTTCTCGGTCAGCTTGTCAATGCCTGGGAGGGCCCAGGTGGGCGTGAGCACCGCTGCCCAGGACCCCTCCCAGACAGCAGCTCCGCTGGGCCTGGCCCCTCAAGGCTCCCTCTTTCCTCCACCACTTAGAGACGCTGTGCTTGGTCCCCCAACACCCCGCTCCTGCACTCACGGCCCCCAGAGCCATACCAGGGCCCGAGGCCCAGCCCCCACACCAAGCTTCCCCTCCCGGACCCCAACGCCCCCGCCCCCACTGCCATCCCCGCCTCCTCAGTTTCCCAACTCAAGCCATGCCCTTTGCCAGAGGTGGGGTGACACAGCCCAGAGACCCTGCCCATCCCCCAGCCATGCCATAGCCACACCCTGTGCCACCCGCCCGGCGCCAGACCTGGGGTGGCCACCAGGCTGGTCTTGAGGGTGCCTGGCTCGGCGGGGGCAGCGGGGCGGGAGCCCTCCATGGAGGCGCCCTCCTGGGAGCCAGTGCGGGACAAGGGCGCAGGCGCCCGCCGGCGCCGCTGCAGCGCCTTGTGGATGGCCGGCGGGTCCGTGGGCAGGTTGGCCAGCTGGTGGAAGACGTTGCGCTTCCGGATGATGGCGTAGACCAGGTTGGAGTTGCCTGTGGAGGGGCACGCGGTCTCAGGGAGGACCCCCATCTCCCGCTCCACCTGGTGGGTGAGCTTCCTGGGACAGAGACTGTGAAGGGCTGGAGGGTGTCGGCCCTGGACAGGGGGCGCAGGGACAATTGTCCAAGAGAAGGGGCCAGGGCAGGACTGGCACCCAGTGGGGTGTACCAGCTGTGGCTGCACAAAGAT